CCACAGAGCACAGTTTTACTCTCGCACACATGGGGTTGCCATGAGTCAGAGCTGGGTCCAGGGTAACTGGGGTTTGGTTATGGTAATTATATAATGCCACTATGAAGAACTTCTTATTAATAGAAATCTATCTACTTAAAAGTGCAAATTTATTTAGGTATATTCTCCAGGGAAACCAGTAAGCACATATCAATGCTTAAGATCACGATATGAAAGGGAAATCTTGTTTTTGCCTGCTCAGCATCACTTAGACTCTCTGGGCATAAACTTTCTTTACTGTTTGGGAACTGCCTCCTTTATGTGTTAATCAAATGTTCTTATCTCTCCAACCTCAGGGATGGATATGTAATCTAGGCTTGCTATGGTCTTAATAACTCTGGGCGTAATAATTAATAAAACAGTGGATGTGACCTTAGCAGGGCCAATTGGTCTTTTTCAGGGATTCAAGAAGGTCCTTCTCCTAGATCACAAACACTAAGGACTACAAAAATATGAAATTGTCAGGGGCCGCCTCTGTCATGACCCAGAAAGAGCCCACCTAGGAATGCAACCGACATAAGGAAAGCAGAGGCAACCATATACAAAGCGAAGACATCATCTGAACCTCTAGCTCCAGTCATGCCTGAGTCCAGTGCCTAGAAATACCTAATTCTGTTTTGCAGCAGGTGGATAATTTGACTAATAGGGGATTACTGTTCATTTGGTTAAGTGTGATAATTGTAATATAATTCTGTAATGTGCATATTTTGAAGAGATGCAGACTGATATATTCAAGGGTTAAATATCATGATGTATATAATTTAACAAAATAGATTAAACAAATATGTCAAAATATTAATAACTGCTAATCCAAAGAGATGAGTAGATAAGTGTTTAGGGTAACTATATAATCTAAACCAGGACAGTATTGAGAGTGAAAACAGAGCTATTAATAAAAGCCCTAGGACAACATAAGTAAACTTGGACAGTCGGGGGGCAAATTAAAACATACAGTCACCCCAGTTACTGTACTATTCTGTATAGTTTCCTGTATTTTTTAAACCTTTTTGCAAGAGCTAGTTTGCATTTGGTTTCTATCACCTGCAACTAAAGAGTACTGGTCTAACACACCAAGATTTAAGCTTAAGACACTGCTTAATCTCCTAATATGCTTAAAGAGTATCATGAAAACAAACTCCAGCTTTATATTTTCCTAAGAAATAATATTCTTTAAAAAGAAAAAAGAAGACATTAAGTTTTTTAAAAGCATCAATCATCTTTATGAATTACTCTGGAATTTGAAACAAATTTCATAATTCTTCCATAACAGAATCTGGAATTTTGAAAAGTATAGTTGTTTTTAACATGAACGCCAATGTGGACTTTATCAAGTTTCTTGTTTCGAGCCTTGGTTTATTTTTCTGCACAATAAAACATTATTCAGGTACTTTAGGGTTTAAATGAGGTAATACAAGTAAAACGCTTCGAAAAGCTCCTTACAACATAGTAAATGTGTATTTAACACTGATAAGTGATAACTTTTACTAGTTATCATTAATTTAACTATCTGTAAAACGGCGGGGCAGGGGGGGCATATGCTACAGAAGAGGTTCAGAGTATCAGGCACAAAGGAGAACCCCTTCTGGAATTTCAGATTTTTGTGTTAGTTGTTATTTATCTGTTCTCGCTAAGCCCTATGACAACTCTTCTCTGTAATGCTAGGGCCTGGAGCCTAAACACTATGTTTTCTATATCTTAACAGGAAGTTGTTAAATTCTGCTGAGAGGAGGCATTAGAAAAAGAAGATGGGGAAGCCACTTTCTTCCTCTCTCTCTCTTTCCTTCCCTCTTCTGGCTACGTCTCTCCTAGTGGCCATGCCCCTTCCATTGTCTCAGCTCCTAAGGCAGCTCCTCCTCCGTGGCTCTGATATCACCTCTTCCCTTTTGTTCTCACCTCTAGTAAAGGTTTAGAAGATAGAAGGAAAAAACATTCACTTCTCTTATATAATGCTGTTATCCCTTTTGATCATTATTATGAAGTCTTATGAACTGAACTACTGCTACGGAATTCTTCTAGAGATTACTGACACAGTTCAACTAAGACAGGATGTTATTTATAGGGCACATGTGGCTCCAGGGCGGGACCTCACACACTGGCCAAGCAGAACTCTAGGGGCAACCATTGGGAATATAAAATATCTAAAGTTCAATTCTTATGCCTATTAATCTTTAAGATTTAGTGGCAAGTGGTAGGCACTGGGGATAAAAAGACAGATATAATCCCTGTACCCTGATCCTCTTTGGTTTAGAGGAAAAGAGGTGCGTGCGCACATGCACACGCACACGCACACGCACACACACACACAACTATTAAAATACTCTATGTAAAGTGCTACGATATAATATAGGAAAAATGCGTAACTAAATTGGGGGATTGTTTAACTAAAATATACTACGTAAAACTGCTATGATATAATACATACAGGATAAATATGTAACTAAATTGGGGGGCTGTGAAAGGATTCTCAAAGAAGGTGATGTCTAAGTTTGAAAAAAACAAGCAGGAGCTGACCAGGTAAATAAGAGGGAAAAGGGCTACCGAGGCAAATGAAATTGCATGTTGAAAGGCATATAGGCAAAAAAGCACAGAATGTTTAAAAAATGGCAAGGAGCTAGTTTAGTATGGCTAAAGTGGAATAAAGAGGGAGAGGGCTTTATCTCACGACTGAAAAGACAGCTTTTGATCCTGAAGGTAAAGGTAACTAGTGAAGAAATTTAGGTCTTAAGCGACTGGTTTGGATTTGTAATTTAAAAGGTAAATGGACAGAAGGTAGAAGAAGATATAAGGACTCTTAGCAGTAATCTGGGCAAGACATGATATAAGCAAGAAGTGATACAGATGAGAAGATATAATTGAGGTATTTAAAAAGCATGTAAATGAAGTTAAAAAAAAACACACTATTCATAGTTATATAAAAAGAAATCTGACTACATTTGATTCCTTCTACCTTTCAGGAGATGAGAGTGGGATAGAGAATGAGGGCTTAGCTCCTAACACTGCGTTTTTATATGCAAGGAGATGGAGGCACAGAGCAGACTGCCTAGTGTGATATCATGTATGTCACTGGCTGTGTGATTTTCAGCAGGTTATCTCACTCCTCTAAGTTTAGTAGGAGAACGTTCAGTGCTCATCATAAATGCCTTATGATGTTCAACTTCGGTTTTAAACTGAACAATACCTCATTTTCATGCCTGATCTAACTTGTGTTCCCTATTTAATTTTGGCAAGCCACTAAGTGAATTTCAGACACAATGTAATTGTACAATGCCAGTAAAAATTTAGTTACATTGGGAACATGTTTGCCTCCAAACACTGTTACGTTGTTAGGTGCTGTCAAGTAGGTTTGGACTCATAGCAACCCTATATACAACAGAATGAAACACTGCCCAGCCCTGCTCCATCCTCAGAATTGTTGCTATGCTTGAGACCATCGTTGCAGCCACTGCATGATCCATCTTGTTGAGGGTCTTCCTCTTTTTTACTGACCCTCTACTTTACCAAGCATGATGTCCTTCTCCAGGGACTGGTCCCTCCTGATAACATGTCCAAAGTATGTGAGATGACGTCTCACCATCCTCGCTTCCAAGGAGCACTCTGGCTGTATTTCTTCCAAAACAGACTTGTTCATTCTTCTGGCAGTCCACAGTATATTCAATATTCTTTGCGAATACCATAATTCAAAAGCATCAATTCTCCTTAGGTATTCCTTTCTCATCGTCCAGCTTTTGCATGCGTATGAGGCAACTGAAAATATCATGGCTTGGGTCACATGCACCTTAGTCCTCAAAGTGACATCTTTGCTTCTTAACGCTTTAAAGAGGTCTTTTGCAGCAGATTTGCCCAGTGCAATATGTAGTCTGATTTGACTGCTGCTTCCATAGGCACTGACTCTGGATCCAAGTAAAATGAAATCCCTGACAACTTCAATATCTTCTCCATTTATCATGATGCTGCTTATTGGTCCAACTGTGAGGATTTTTCTTTTCTTTATGTTGAGGTGTATTCCACAGCGAAGGCTGTAGTTTCTGATTTTCATCAGTAAGTGCTTCAAGTCCTCTTCGCTTTCAGCAGGCAAGGTTGTGTCATCTGTGTATCCTAGACTTCTAATCAGTCTTCCTCCAATCCTGATGCTGCATTCTTCATATAGTCCAGCTTCTCAGATTATCTGCTCAGCATACAGACTTAATAAGTATGGTGAAAGGATACAACCCTGACACACATCTTTCCTGATTTTAAACCACGCAGTATCCTCTTGTTCTGTTCAAATGACTGCCTACTGGTCTAGGTACAGGTTCCCCATGGGCACAATTAAGTGTTTAAGAATTCCCACTCTTCACAATGTTATCCATAATTTGTTATGACCTGCACAGTTGAATGCCTTTGCAGAGCTCCAGATATTGCAATGTTCCACTGCTATTCATAAGGTTTTCACTGGCCAATTTTTTTTAGAAGTAGATCACCAGGTCCTTCTTGCAAGTCTGTCTTAGTCCGGAAGCTCTGCTGAAACCCGTCCACCATGGGTGACCCTGCTTATGTCTGAAATATCAGTGGCATAACTTGCAGCATCACAGCAACACCCAAGTCACCATAATATGACAAACTGACAGACGAGTCGTGGCTCCAAATACTAGAAAGCAACATTATTAGAAATGCACAAGCCACAGTGGTGTACCAACAGTGGTACTGATTATTATGCTAGCAAGCAATTGCAATTTCTGATCACTTTATGAAGTTTTCTCCTTTAGGTAAACTAGAAAACATCTGAGGATAAATATACTTGAGATTAAGCTCTCTTAAACCCCTTTGGGAAAAAAAAGCAAGCACAAGAAAATAACTCAATAAAAATTAAGGTAATTATACCTAAAAAAAAATTTGATAAAAATAAAATATTTAGAGGGACTGTCATGTAATAGCATTAATTAACAACAATAAAGGTCGACTTTTTAAAAGCAATTAGAAAACATGTATGAAGGACCCATGTAAATGTTATAACATTTAATTCCAGGCATTCTAGGAATTAACATAAGAAAATTATTCCAAAATTTCTGCAATGAACATGTATCATTTAAACAGAGAAAACAAAAAGTAAAACCCACGCTCTATTAACAGCAATCCCAAAACCCTCATAGTCCACTCCCTTTTATGTATATAAGATATACCTTGGCTTAGAAGAAACAACTTTGCCTAAATAAAAGTTGGTAGTTTTTATTATCATTTACTTCAGAGAGATTATCTTTTACTTACAGTTCTATTGATAAGCATTTTTAAATAATCACTTGGGATTGCAATGTTAAAAGAAAAAAAGTAACATTAAAATGACTGGAAGAGTACTCATCAAATTAAAAGAGTTGTCTTGTTAGAGTAATGGAATGTGAGTTTTTTCCTCTTCAGTCTCCACACGCTCTGTGTGTTGTATACTGCTGCTATGACTAGGCACTAGAATGGTGCTGTGTTGGGAGGCGGCGTAACAGAGTTAAGTGTGTGGCTCTGCAGTCAGACTGCTGAGACTTGAATTTGGGCTCTACCACACTTTGTGGCTGTTTTGGCTTTGGCCCTCAGGTCCTTCTGGTCCCATATCTGTAAACTAGATATAATAATAGCTCTTATACTTCATAATGGAGGAACCCTGGTGGCTTAATGGTAAGTGCTTGCCTGCCAACCAAAAGGTCGGTGGTTTGAATCTCCCAGCCACTCCATGGGAGAAAAGACCTGGCAATCTGCTCCCATAAAGATCACAGCCTAGGAAACCCGATGCGGCAGTTCTATCCAATAGGGTTGCTATAAATCAGAATCAACTTGTTGGCAGACAACAACACATTTCATTATATTGTTTTGAGAATTAAATAAGAATCTGTGAAAGCTCTTAGAACTGCATGGTATACAGAATTTCAACTTGGAATGAGGACAATCTCAGATCACAGTGATGTAAAGCACAGAAAAAACAAAACAAACCATGTCAGAGCCAGAAAAAATGAACTTGTACAGGTTCTACAAAAGAAGACTGGGGTATGTACGTGTGTGGGGTGCATTTTGAAGAGGCTTTCTATTTTTTATTTTTAATTCTATTTTTCTTTAGCTATCCATAAATTCAAATTTTCATAAAATTATACTGAAAAATAATTGCTTTGTCTTCTCAACCATGTAGAATACCAGTTTTGTGCCTTATTAAATCAAATATCACTATAAATGTATTTCATCATACTCAGTGTTAGTATATGTTTAAAAAAATTCCTTAGTAACCCTAAAAATATAATATCCTGAAAGTTAAAAGCAAAATGCACTTCCATTACTTAATTATACCTTGGAGAAGATAAAGTACAAGAAGCCAGAAAAAGATGACCTTGGATGTTACTTGTAACCACCATCGGAAGAAAAAGGGAAAAAATACAACCCGAACGATTCCTTTTCTAGTCAAAGAAGTCCAAGGACTTTCAGGTTTTGCCTTAGCAAATGCAGACCCTGAAAAAAGCAAAATAAAATGACCGAGTAGTTATTATTTAATTTTCTTAGGGGAAAAAAAAATTCAACACTTGAAGAACAGCACCACACATGTAATTTTATTTTGTACTATGAGAAATGTTCAACAGTGGGTAGTATATACTTTCAAAAACATTTTTCATGCTATCATATTAACTCAGGTACTTTGAAAAACAGTATTTTAATTGAAATAACAGCAGAATTTCTCCCATATGTTTTATTAGGCCAAGGTTCAAATGTCAGTTCCAGTTAGGAATCACAAGTGACCACTTTAATTTTTATTACTAAGCCCTACAGCTTGCTAAGCAAATACAAGCTGCTATTCTTTTATACTTATTATTTCTTAGAATAATCTTTAGTGGGAAGAAAAACCAGCCAATGGTATTTAAATACTTCCATTCTCTCTTTTTTACCCATGCACATTTTAATGCTATTTCTGCCTTCATTTAAGTTTACATGTGCTTTTAATTTTACAAACATATATATCTAACTCATTTTGAATTCTGTTTCTTCAAGGTCAATTTCTAATCCCATTAAGCATTTGTTTATCCAAGACTCACCTCTTACAAGATCAACATCTATGAGGTCTGGTTTCACATGAGCTGTTTTCTTTGGTTTATTCCTTAATCCCTGTATCAAAAGTAGTATTAAAATTCAATGTATATATTTTAAATCCAGAATAGCAGAAAAGAATCAACTTATAAGGATTTCAATTTGAAATAACACCTTTACATAATATATTGGACAAAAATGTAGCATGTTAAATAGTTGATAAATAAAACAAATAACTATACTATTGTAATAAACTTTATTACTTTCTAAAAGGATAAATTTAGAGATGTAGGCAACATGGGAGGCCTGTTTATTACTAAAAATAGAATAACATATGAAGTCTATACTACCAAGCAAATTGAGCGTATAGCCTGAGAAAGTCCAGGAGACTGCATTGGCCCCAGATGGGCAGAGGAGAGCAGTTGAGGCTGGCTGGGAGAGCAGTGGGCCCAATGGGCCCTCAAGGTGTGATGAGAAGGCGTTGATGCAGAAAGTAGTGGATCATAGAACTGAGGACGAGAGGGGTGCAGATTTCTCAGCAGATGCCGGCATGTAGGAATGGTACCAGCTGAGACCCTGAGAGGTTGATGCACATCCTGGGGTGCCACTATGTTCACATGCCAACCATTACCAGACAACTGTCCCTAAGCCACAATGCTACCTAAGCACCTCAGAACTTAGATGCCGTGCCCAGGAGGAGGAGAAGGCAGGAATCATGAACTAAATTAGTTTAAAGTTAAAATTACTGGACACTGATTAAGTTTCTGCTATCAGTGTACAGAGTGGGCGTGGAGATGAGAATTACTGAAAAGCTGTGGAAAAGTAAGTTACACTTTATGACTTAAAAACCCTGGGGTATATAGAACTGGGATGTTAGAATTGAAAGAATGTAGGCTAAACTCCCCAGGACCCAAGTGCTGAGAGGTGACAAAGGTGTTTAGATGATTTTTTAATTGTTTATTCAATTAACCAAGCAGCTGCGTAGACTTTCCTCTTGTCCTAATCCAAATAACAATGTCCCCTAAAGTAAAAATTTGATTAAGTACTGTTTGCAACTAAAACAAAGAGGACAGCATACAAGTTCAGAACAAACTGAGATGTCTAAAACTGTACCCTAAAATCAAGATGCAATAAATCTTTGGACCTCTGTGAATAGCCTGTCAACCTGAAATTGCAAACCACCCAGAGATATGAAAGCAAAAACAAAAGAGAAAGAACAGTCAGGGGTGAAGATATAGCCATGATAATTTTATATATCTCTACTTTTTCCCAATTTTAATGTCACCACAGAGCGGCTGTGTGTATATACATTTTAACAAAATTTCATTAGTATAACTCTATTTAAATTTCATATGAACTTTATTACAATGGGATTTGACCTTCATTAGTGTCAATAAATTTAAAACCAGTAACATAAATTTAATTTTATCTTTTATACATTCTTTTTATAACAATTTGAAAATAACCTTATTGCCAATGTTTTATGACAAACTGGAAGCCTAATTTACTGCTGTATACCTAAAATTTTTATCAAGATTTTTTAAGTACTAAAAGTCCCTATATGAGAAGCAGTGCATTGCCTTAACTTATACAACTATGTTATTTCTCAGCATGCTCATTTTACTTGACCTTGTTTATATATGGTTCATTTCCTATTTTATTTTATTAAAACGTATATGAGCTATATTGTAGAACCACATCTTAGCTGCCAGTCTTGATAAAACTTCCCCTTTAAGTCAGCCTATCAGAATATTTAAAGCGTTTAAAAAAAGAAAAACAAGTATTTCACTGATAAAATTTCTAACCTTAATGATTTCATTCAAAAAACAAAAGATAATGGGCAAAGGACATGAACAGACACCTCACCAAAGAGGATATTCAAGTGGTCAACCAACACATGAAAAGGTGCTTGTTATTAGCCATTCCAAAAACCAAACCTGTTGTCGTCGAGTCGATTCCGACTCATAGTGACTGTACAGGACACAGTAGAACTGCCCCATGGGGCTTCCAAGG